CGACCATCTTGGCAGATCGCCCCCAACCCGGCTGATCCAGCCGCTAGATCCACAGCTTCGGCCATAGTCATGCATCGAGCATCTTGGCTGCACCAGGCCGCTGTTCCGAATGAGTTGCAGGCCAAGGTGGAAGATTTGCCTTTCGATCGCCAGTCACTCTTTGCCCAGTCAACTGATCAGGTCTTCCACTCGGGCAAGGATATATGTACAACTTTGAGGACACTAGGGATGTACACACCCCCCCACAAACGTAGGAAATACATACCCTACAACAGGCAAAGACCATTCTTGTATGCGACGCCTCGGACCAGGCCATACGATCAACAGAGGCCAAAACAATGTCCCCAAAAGCATCGCCAACAACCTAACAAGGCGTCTGTCCAACAGCAGGGCCGGCAGCAGGTTTGATGTGTTCATCGAGGGATTTCAGACCACCCCGTTAACAGAAACTCTAGGCATCACAAAAGGTGTATTCCATCATTGTCTCAGGCCTTATCAGCATTGTTGGGCTCTCATATCCACCCACCGGTGGGTTTACGATGTAATCACTTCAGGATATGTCATTCCCTTCACTTCTCTTCCCCCTCCCTCCCCCCCTTCCTCCTCCCTTTTCAAGGACCCCTCTCACATGACTATTCTCCATCAAGAGGTGTCGCGCCTTCTCACATTAGGGGCAGTGGAAAGGGTGCCAACACGCTTTTTGGGGAGAAGATTCTATTCTCGCTACTTCCTCACCCAGAAAAAATCAGGGGGTTGGAGGCCTATCCTGGACCTATGTCGGCTCAACCATCATCTGAGAAGGCAAAAATTCAAGATGGTCACGTTATCTTCGATCATTCCGGCTCTCGGACAAAGGGGATTGGTTCGCGTCCCTCGATCTTCAGGACGCTTACTTCCATATAACGATACACCCAGCCCACAGAAGTTTCCTTCGCTTCATAGTGGGGTCCGACCACTATCAGTATCGCGTGCTACCTTTTGGACTGTTGGCGACCCCACAGGTTTTCTCCAAGACCCTTGCGGTAATGGCGGCCTACCTGCGGTGCCTCGATATTACAATTTTTCCGTACCTGGATGATTGCCTGCTAAAGGCTTCCACACTTGACAAGGCCATGAGGGCAGTGTCTGCAACTACCACTCTGTTTACAGCCCTCAGACTCATAATCAATCTCAAGAAATCCTTCCTGACACCTACTCGCGACCTGGAGTTTATCGGAGCAAGACTCAACTCCCTAACCGCGAGGGCATACTTGCCAGTAAAGAGGTTTCAACTCATACAGGACCTGGTGAAATCAGTATCAATTTCTCCCAAGTCCCGAATATTTACCTGTCTACAGCTATATGTGGTTCCGCATGCCAGACTCCATATGCGCACTCTTCAGCATTGGCTGTTCACCGCGTACACGCCCCGGGTGCACAGTACGAACAGGGTGGTTTCTCTGCCCAGTCAGGTCCGGACTTCCTTGGCATGGTGGGACAGCCCCAACAATATGCTAACAGGGTCCCCTTTCATGCCCACAAACCATCACTACAAATCACTACAGATGCCTCTCTGCTCAGCTGGGGCGCTTACCTTCAGGAGCACGGGGCGCAGGGTTTCTGGACGCCCCAGGAATCGCTACAGCATATAAATTTTCTCGAGCTGAGAGCAGTCTTCAAGGCTTGCAAGCACTTTCTGCCCATCATCCGAGGACACTCCATACAGATTCTCACCGACAACATATGCACGGTGTATTACATCAACAAGCGGGGGGGGGGTCACGTTCCCGCTCTCTTTGCGCCTGTGGAATTGGGCTATTCAACAAGGTATCACCATAACTGCAGCATACTTTCCTGGCAAAGACAATGTGATCGCCAGTACTCTGAGCAGGCATTTGAACAGCACGAGTGGGAATTACATCCCGAGGTGCTCCGCGACCTCTTCCTGCTATGGGGCTTCCCCAAGGTGGACTTGTTTGCCACTCGACACAACAGGAAATGTCCTCAGTATTGCTCACGAGCGGGCATCGGCACAGACTCTCTGGGGGATGCCTTCCTCCTGGACTGGGATCATCACCAATTGTAATACACCTTTCCTCCTCTTCCACTCATTCCGAGAGCTCTGGAGAAGATAGCACTAGGCGGCGCAACAGTAATTCTGATAGCACCTTTCTTGCCTAGGCAGATCTGGCTAACACAGCTGTCGAGAATGTCAGTTGCCAATCCACGATGACTACCGGAACTGTCCAATTTGCTATCTCAGCAACACGGCACAATTCTTCACCCAGCCATCAACCGCATGCACCTCACGGCATGGTGCCTAGCTGGCTCTAAGCTTCCGAACTCCCCTGTTCTCAAGAAGTGAGGTGCGTGTTGATTAACAGTAGGCGGCATATGACGCGCAAATCTTATCTCCATAAATGGCATCGTTTCCATTCGTGGTGCTTGGCAAAAGATCTTGACCCTCATTCGTTGACTATACAACAGATCCTAGATTATGTGATGCATCTAAAGATGACGGGAATGGCTATTTCTTCCCTAAGAGTACATCTAGCGGCAATGTCAGCCTTCCGTCTTCCAGTTGACGGCCATTCAGTGTTCGCCCACCCTATCACCAAAAGATTTCTGAAAGGATTAAGCATCTGTATCCGGCCCACAGAATCCCACCGGAGCCTTGGGACTTGCCTCTAGTATTGGACACTCTGACTCACTCGCCTTTTGAGCCGCTCGCAACATGTGATCTACGAATGCTCACGATGAAAACGGTGTTCCTACTTGCCATCACGTCGGCGCGTCGAGTAAGGGAATTAGCAGCTCTTTCCACCGATCCACCATACACGCAATTCTTCAGTCATGTGGCAGTACTGCGTGTCCAGCCATCATTTTTGCCAAAGGTCAACTCTGCTTTCCACATAAATGAGCGCATAATCCTGCCGACTTTCCACCCAAAGCCTCACTCCCCATTGGAAGATGCACGTCTACACACTCTAGATGTCAGGCGAGCACTGAACTTTTACCTTGACAGAACTCAGGTCTTTAGGAAGTCTCAGCAGCTTTTCCTTTCTACAGCCGAGCGCTCCAAGGGCAAGCTACTTTCTGCGCAGCGTATTTCCCACTTGGTCATTGCTTGCATCACACAATGTTATGCCTTGTGCAACAAATCTCTTCCGAACAGTCTTCGTGCTCATTCCACCTGGGGCATAGCGACATCCATTGGCTATCTTCACGGAGTTCCGTTGCAGGACATATGCCGTGCGGCAACCTGGTCATCTATCCTCACATTCGCTAGACACTATGCCCTAGCGAACATACTTACCTCTGATTCAAGGGTAGCTCAGGCTGTCTTATCTACAGCACGAGGGCGATAGATCCGAAGCACTCATGTAACGTTGGACCACTGCTGTGTACTCACCTCGAGTGGAGCACCCTCAGGGACACTACTCGATGAAGAAAAGAGAGTTACTCACCCTGTGCAGTAACGTCTGTTCTTCAAGATGTGTGTCCCTGTGGGTGCTCCACATCCCACCCTCCTCCCTGCTTCGGAGCTTCTATTTATATCTTTCAGATGCTTCCAGTTGGGTGGAAGCTGACAAGACCGGACTGCGCTCAGATGAAAGGCGCGAAGGGGCAGTCACGCATGCGCAGTCCGGTAGGGGGCTACTGCTAATGAAAATTCCTCCAGTTTGCGGCACCGGGATGAGCCCAGCACCTCGAGTGGAGCACACACAGGGACACACATCTCAAAGAACAGGCGTTACTGCACAGGGTGAGTAACTCTCTTTTTCAGAAAAGCTTTTCTCAGGGACTTGTTGATCTCCTTGTTTCTTAGGCAGTAGATGATGGGGTTGATCAGGGGAGTCAGGACGATGTAGTAGAGGGAGAATATTTTGTGCAGGACCTTGGGCATGTTGGCTGTTGGAACCATGTACACAGCAATCACAGCCCCATAGAAAACTGTAATTACAATGAGGTGAGTGGAACAGGTAGAAAAGGCCTTTTGCCTCCTGATGCTGGAGGGGATCCTCAGGATGGTGCTGATGATATAAATGTAGGACACCAAAGTGAGTAGACAGGGCACAAGTGTTCCTAGGGAAGCCACAACATATGTCACCAGTTGCAGAATCCGGGTGTCACTGCAGGACACCTTTATCACGGGTGAGAAATCACAGAAGTAATGGTCGATTTCATTGGACCCACAAAACGTTAATTGGAAGAAGAAAATATTCAGGATGGTGCAGCTCAGTAAGCTACATAGGAAGGACAGTGCCACCAGCTGGCTACAGATCTTGCCACTCATCAGAACAGTGTAGCGAAGAGGGTGGCAGATGGCTATGTACCGGTCGAAGGACATGGCCGTGAGCAGCAGCGATTCTGTATTTGACATGATACCAAAGAAATACAATTGGACGATGCAGCCCTTCACAGAGATGGTCCTGACCCCTGTCACAAGACTGACCAGCAGCCGGGGCAGAAAGATGGAGCTGTAGCAGGTCTCCACGCAGGCCAAGTTGCACAGTAAATAGTACATGGGGGTGTGAAGATGTGGGTCAGACACCACTAGCACAATGATGAGGATGTTCCCAGCCACAGTCACAATGTAGCTCGCTAGAAAGAACAGGAAGAGAAGGGGCTGCAGTTCCGGGCCATTCCCAAAGCCTAGGAGGATAAATTCTGTGATGAGTGTTTGATTTCCTCGCTCTGCTCTCTGCATAATACGCCCCTAGGAATAGATCGATGCAGTGCACACACGCAGGCTGTGCTGTCAGTCAGACTGGTGGAAGCCGGGAGAAGGTAACCTCACCCCACGGCATCTCCCTTCTGGAACAACAAATAAAGTTTTCAGTAAACATCGGAAGATTGATACAACTGATAGTTTGAGTTTCCAATGTATGTGACCCAAGAGAATAACAGAATAAAATAGAAAGAACAGAATTGTCAGACACATAAATGAACATCATTTGTTGGGAAAAGTCAACATGGTTTCTGTAAAGGGAAATCCTGCCTTGCTAATCCCACACAGGTCTTTGAGTGGGTCAACAAGCATGTGGACAAGGGGGATCCAGTGGATAGAGTGTACTTAGGTTTCCAGAAAGCTTTTGACAAGGTCCCTCACCAACATCTCTAAGGCTATGTCTAGACTGCAGGCTTCTTTCGAAAGAGGCTCTTTCGAAAGCATCTTTCGAAAGAGCCTCTTTCGAAAGAAGCCTGCAGTCTAGACATAGCCCAATTGTTCAGAAAAGACTAGTAACGGGGAAGCAGTGGGACACAACAATGCCTATGGAGAAGACACTGCATTGGCCTGTAGAGAGCTCTGTATTGTGTATGTACTCCACATGCTGCTGTAAGGAGCAAGCAGCACAGACATATCCTTAACAGTGTGTGTACTGGTTAAGCCCCCGAAATAATTTCGAAAGAACGCGGCTTGAGCCTGGACGCAGGGGAAGTTTTTTCGGGAAAAGGCTACTTTTCCCGAAAAAACCCCTGAGTCTGGACATGGCCTTAAGCGAAGTAAATTGTCATGGAATCAGAGGGAAGGTCTTCTCATGGGTGTAATGAGCAATACAATACACTTTTGTGTCTACACTGGCAAGTTATTCCGGAAAATCAGCCACTTTTCCGGAAAAACTTGCCAGCTGTCTACACTGGCCGCTTGAATTTCCGGAAAAGCACTGACGATCTCATGTAAAATCATCAGTGCTTTTCTGGAAAAACTATGCTGCTCCCGTTCGGGCAAAAGTCTTTTTCCGGAAAACTGTTCTGCAAAAGGGCCAGTATAGATAGCACAGTACTGTTTTCCACAAAAAAGCCCCGATCACAAAAATGACGATTGGGGCTTTTTTGCGGAAAAGTGCATCTAGATTGGCCACAGACGCTTTTCCACAAAAAGTGCTTTTGCGGAAAAGCATCCTGCCAATCTAGACGCACTTTTCCGAAAATGCTTTTAACGGAAAACTTTTCCGTTAAAAGCATTTCCGGAAAATTATGCCAGTGTAGACGTAGCCACAGGTTTAAACAGAAGTCACAGATATTTGTTCTTATGGCAAAGGTTTCAAAGTCTGAAGTCTCTTCCTTTCTTTTCCTCTCCGCATTTCATGGCATATCCGACCTTCTGTTCTCTTCACCCCCTGACTTATGATGTGCCCATTAAAAATTTTATCTGCCCTGAGAGTAGCAGTGGGACACTGAACTCAGTGAAACATAAAGGTAAGAAAGAAAAACCCAGAAAACACACACATGCAGAGAAGAGGGGCTGCTTATTTGTTTCGAACATTGTACGAGGAATAAAACTTATGGTGAAACATAACGTGCGTACACAAGGAGCCAATAAACTCAGTAAATACATGGAGCACAGGACCACCAATCGATAATGGCCAAAATGGGCAGGAATGGTGTCCCTGCCTCTGTTTGTCGAAGTTGGGAATGGGGGACAGGAGATGGATCACTTGATGATTCCCTGGCACTGGCCGCTGTCGCAAGGCACGACAGTGACCTAGCTGGACCTTTGGTCCAATATGGCCCTTATTAAGTTCTTACATTCTACATCAGAGAGCCCTTAATTGCCCTGCCTTAAGCATATTTTGCTCTAACCCATCTACTTTTATTTACTCTCCCTGTCCATTGAACGAGCAATTCTACCCATTCTAACATGGCGGATGACAAGGCAGGTCTTTTTCTGTTCTACGTCAGAGTCTTTCATTTTAACTCTGCTGCTTTACCTTCCCCTGGAATCATCTATTAACAGCTACACCCTGACACTCCCTGGGTGGGAAGATGCATTAGAATCTTTGCATCATGTTTTTCATTCTTTTCTACGACTGACAAGGTTCCGTTATCTCAGGGAACCGAGCTTCGGGTTCCTACCTCGGTGTCTCGATCCTGCGAGCTGGGTGCTACATCTGCCTGATGTTACCTTTCACGGCGATGAATGTCCCTCTCGACTGGCACTTTCTTCTTTATAGGAGATGATCGAATTTCCCTGGGTATTTCTGCCGGTGGGAATTTCTGGTTATTACGCAGAGAGTAAAGATCAATAATAGTAAAGAAAAACAACAGTGCTATGATGTATCTCAAAGGCAAAGTCGTGGAAAATAATGGATTCCAAAGGGAAAAGTCACAGAGACGGGAGAACTGCTGATCCACGTGCAAACTGCTGCCCCAAGATCAAAGCAATAGAAAAAGTAAGTCTCATTTGAAAGTAAGTTAATTGAGACAGAACTTCTGCTCTCAAGTGAAACCTCTGTCCAGTTGATGAACTGCGGCCCGGGGGCCGGATGCGGCCCGCGAGGGCCTCTCATCCGGCCCGTGGAGACCTTTTTGGATTCAAAGGCAGAAGAAGTGAGATTGTTTCAAAACCCATTTGAAGCAGATGTGGCCAGTTGCCCAGATGAACTGCAGCTGGAAGTCATTGAGTTGCAAGCAAATGACCTCCTTAGGGACAAGTTCAAAATAGGACTGGTGGGTTTTTACCAGTTTTTGCCCAAGGAAGACTTTCCTAATGTCAAAACTTTTGCATCAAGGTACCTTTCAATCTTTGGAACAACATACCTGTGTGAACAAACATTTTCAAGAATGAAATACGTGAAGAACAATTTGAGAACAAACTTGTCCGATGATAATCTCAGGTCACTGTTGATGTTAGGGACAACAAATCTAAAGCCAGAAATGTCTGCTATTTTGGCATCCAGGAAACAATTTCACCATTCACACTAATACAGGTGTTCATGTGTAGTGTATGAATGTGTTATTAAATAATAACTGAATAAAATAATATTAAATAAATAATTAAAAACAACATCCATGTTTTGATTGTTTTTTATTTGGACCTCAAGTGTGTAGTCGGCCCCCGAACTGCTGTTTGACAGTTAATGCGGCCCTCGGGCTGAAAAGTTTGGAGACCCCTGTGCTAGATGAATAGATTTACTAGAATAATAATAAAAAGGGGCCATTGTCAGTTCTGTTTTATAGTAATAGAAAATTAATTAGTCCCAAGTTAAAACATTCCTGTCTAAAGCTCTCAGCTCACTCTGATCACAGAGTTTGGAACCCCAAACACAGGCCAAGAACTCCCCAAAGTTGTTGCATCAACAGATTTCAATGTCCTTGGCTACACTGACAGTGATGTTTAAAGGAACTGAAACTTAGGCTCCCAACCACCTTTGAATGTCAAAGGGAGTTGGGCACCTCCCCTTTTATGCTCCTTGGAAACCCCCCAGTTTGGTTTCTGATGCCCTAACTTACTCCCAATTTCTTGTCTTTGCTGAAGGAGCGGGAGAGAGGACATGCTGTGGATGCGGGATGGGGGAAGTGGAAGCAGGTGGCCATAGTGTAAAATGGGGACAGAGTCCGCCACTGTTTATTGTGAAGGTGGTCAGGGGGACCTGGATTCTAACCCAGGCCAGAAGCTGAGAAAATACCTGTTGTCTTTGCTCTTTGTAGTCACTGAAGAGTGATAGAAATGTAGCCGTGTTAGTCTGGGGTAGCTGAAACAAAATGCAGGACTATGTAGCACTTTAAAGACTAACAAGATGGTTTATTAGATGATGAGCTTTCGTGGGCCAGACCCACTTCCTCAGATCAAATAGTGGAAGAAAATAGTCACAACCATAGATACCAAAGGATACAATTAAAAAAATGAACACTTATGAAAAGGACAAATCACATTTCAGAACAGAAGGGGGATGTGGAGGGGGGGGGAAGGAAGGTGAATGTCTGTGAGTTAATGATATTAGAGGTGGGGAAAGATAGATGTCTGTGAGCTAATGGTATTAGAGGTGATAATTGGGGAAGCTATCTTTGTAATGGGTACGGTAGTTGGGGGCTTTGTTCAACCCCCCGCGGAGAGTGTCGAATTTTAGCATGAATGCCAGTTCAGAGGATTCCCTTTCAAGTGCAGATTTGAAAGTCTTCTTGAGTAGGATGCATGTGGTTAAGTCATTAAGACAGTGTCCTTTCTGGTTGAAATGGCAAGAAACTGTTGTCACTGAGTGAGTCTTTCCCTTCGTGACAAAGGACTTTGGATCTGGCTCATGATTATAAGATGTAAGAAATTGCCCCATAAGAGCTAGTGGGAGATAAAAACATGGTTTGGCCCTTAGTTTGTACAGGTGGTGCCTCCCTTAACTGGGACTCCCTGGTTCCTGGACCATAGAGACCAAGTGTAGGGAGGTCTGGAGGGTCAAGAGCATGGCAGGGGAGACTCAAACTGTTCTCCTCAAACACTGGTGAGACCATCCCGGGAACTGTGTGCCTCATCGGCATGAACAAGCAAGTGGAGTCACTAGAACAGTGTCAGGGAAAGGCCGGAAGATCGAGTCATGGTCTGGAGAACGACCTCCGGGCCGGCACTGAAGGAGTTAGGTGTGTTTTGCTGAGTGAGCAATGATTGGATCACAGGCTGGAACTACGGCACCGTATTCAACAGAGAGAGAAACCAACGCTCCAGTAACTGCCATCACACTGGGCCCAGGCCTCGAGCAGCAGCCACAACTTTGACATGTGTCCACTAGGAAACGGGCCAAAGGTTCCAAACTGTCAGCAGGTTTCACCAATATTTGGCCAGCAAAAAAATCATCTGGACTCACCTAAGTGAAAAGCCCGGCACAGTATCCCAGACTCCTGGGGCACAGCTGTTTGCAACCCCTGGGGAATTTGGGATTTAAATAACTGATGTATAAACACATCATATGAATTGCCCAATGGACTCTAACCTGT